TAAACAAAAGATATATTATCCGTCTGCTGACTATTCCTGTTTGTGATTGGACGGATCAGCATTCAGCGTCACGTGACATAACACCTCTATTACAATAGGTCAGGATCACACGTACGCAGCACATCAGCGCTGCCCGTCGTCCGAATAAATATAATTCAGTTGTTATTATGATTATTATATCATGGTGTTGGTTACCTACCTTTATTGTGTTTCTTTTGACTTTTGCTATATCGTGCTCTGCTCTGAAAATTGTGATAGTCCTGTCCGAGTTGTTAATGAGACAATCTCCTTGTTCTTTCGTTGCAGAATCAACATGTTCTTTGTTTGAGTAACACAACAATTTTGAGGAATAAGGAAGCGTTATTGGGCTGTAAAACCAACTTAAATCGATTTCTCGACTCTCGTGCAACGTTGTACAGGTGAGGAACAGTCACCAAAATGAGTTGCTTACCTGCTGTGTTTTGTCGTACTCTGCTCTTCGCTAAAGTTCGATCAGTTAAGGTGAGGATTGCCTCGATCTTTCGGTTTCAGCCTAGGCAAGAGTGTAGAACCGATGGATCAAAAATATATGTGCTTGTTGCTCGCATTCTAAACTATAAAAACATCAAATTTTGAGGGATAAGGAAGTGTTATAGGTTCTGAAAAACCTTAGTTAAATCGATTTTTCATGCAATTTTTAGGTCAGAAAAACAGTCACACAAAATGAGTTAATAAGAAGGTCGATTTTCTCGGTTATTTTGAGCTGTCGATTCAGAACATAATTCGGGGCCCTCAAAGGGGGGTAAACAAGTAGGCGTTACAGTGTTTACAATCCTTCTATAATACAAAAAATGTGCTCGAACTAAGAACAGTTGATGCACGCGCCGCCGGACCCGCCGCGCCGCACAATTTTCACACGCCGACACGGCCGATACCTCTCAAAGGTGGGACGGTCGTGCGTGAAAGGAAATGAGAAGAGTATGGAGCCAGTCGGGGTTGATTTTAAAACTCTAGGAGATCCAAATTGTTCAACGACAATGTTAAGAATTTTGATTTTCCTTAAAATATAATTGTAAAACCACCGAAATATAATTGTCAAAACTTCACTTATTACATCTTATTTTCATGCACGCACCGTACGCCACAATTTTTGTGGGCCTGGAAATTCAAACCTAAATTTTGACAAATTTATGTTCCACGCGCCGAACGCCGCCACGCCGGGCCATTTGTGGCACGCCGACGCGGTTGGCGGAAAAAATGAACGGCGTGCATAACTGCCTAAAAAATGGTGCTCGACCTAAAATGTAAACAAAACAATTATCACTCCCCGCCAGTATACCACATTTATTGTTACCTGACCGTTTCAAGTCCTGCTGCGGCCAAATCCCCTAGACAGGTAACTCGGGAAGCGAAGCGTACGCTATATATAATAAATAGTCTATTAAAAAGGAGGTACGGTTATACCTGCACTGGGGCACCATCAGTGACTTATAATATAAACGTTGCCTGTTAGTGTAGCTGGCGCCCCCCCCCCCCTTCCTGACAAGCCACCCTTGTCGGCGGCCCCTCCACATTCTCAAGAACGCCCCCTCCCTAAAATTGGACAAATTAGATGATTTTAGAGGATACGCCTGTAATATCTGTCTAAAAAAGCGTGCTTCTACTTATAGGCAAACGGGCAGTTTTTGCTAGTACCGCGAAGCGAAGTTAAGTTTTTCAAAATTTTCCCATTCTTTCAAACGACGATTTAGTGCCCCCACAGGAGAATTAATTTTACTGAAAAGTTTTTTAAGATTTGCGGACCCGCTCGCTGCTAAATTCAGAAAATCTAAAAAATATTTACCTAAAAGTTTTGAAATTTCCGATTTCGTGCACTTCATGCCATTAGACCCTGTGATCATATGCTAAGGACCCGGCATATAGACTTTTTAACCGAATCAGATCTCCTCAATACATGCTTTTAGGTCTCAAGATCAGACTGAGAGGACCCGGAATACAAAAACGTGCACCATGACCGCGATTGGCCGCCGAATGAATCGTGAACAAAAGTAGTTTCTAGAAAAACTTTGAAAAAATGTTGAGTTATAAAATGTTCGGTTCGAGTCATCCTCGATACGTACTTTGAAGGCAAAGCTCCCGCTTCAGAAAACCGAAAAAAAGAAACGTTTTAGACGATCTGCATATTGATCAGGGTAGCATGAACCATCACATGGCTTGGAGTGCGTTTAGACACTTATGATATCATTTAAAAATGTATAGTGTGTGAACTGGAAATTGTCGAGAGTGTGTAGTGTGTGAACGGCCGCAGTTCTAGAACATGTAAGGATATTCTCCCTCGATACTCGTGCGCTCCGAATTCCAGATCGTTAACAGTTAACACAGCACTCAGCTGTACAATGTGCATTAATAAATAAAATAATAAACGCTATAGAGGAACCAGGATGTATCACATTCTTTTCTTCAGATTCATAAGCAGCGATCATAGCAGGCAGGCTATAAAGGAACCAGGACGTACTATCACATGGTAAACTCTAGACTACTACTAGACAGGATTAATGCCTGAACATTACATTTTGTAGTAGTCTTAGTCTAGATCATGTGATACAAACGTGAGCATTTTGGGCCTTCATACCCTTCACAGTGCTAATATGTAATATAAACATGTGTATTGCAATCATTTTAAGCATATTTTTAAGTCTATAAGCCGTTCAGAAGTTGAAATACAAATTTCACATATTATATGCGCCTATGATATGAAATATGGGCGTGGTTCCACACTCCACAGGATTGGGACTTGCGAAACAATATGCGCACCTAAGTGATTTGAGTTACCAATGACCAATTTAACCCATGAATTCAGTAGCAAAAAACTCTGTACATCGAAGTGCAAATTCAACTACACCGGCCCTGCTATTGCATGCTACTGGAGTATTTATGTTGCCCAGTGCCAGCTATGCATGTTGCACACATAGCGGGCGCGCAGACACTTATTTCGGACGGACACTCATCCCATTTCACATCTGTCTTAATGGCCAACCGTAGAGTATATTTATTTTAGATGACCAAAACATTTATGAACATTCTGCCTTATCTATAAACTGTTATATTAAGCACAAAAATATCTTTAATTTTGAAACTTTTAAATTTGGGTTACGAGGACAAAAGAAAATCGCGATTATCTAAGCTAAAAATCGCGGCGCCGTTAAAGAGTCGTTCTTATAGGCACGTGATTCTGGAACAAGTAGTCCTATGACATATTATCATTATATGGTTATCGGACAGAATGAGGTTAAAATTATTTAACATCTGGCGGCATGTTGTCAGCATTGTGGCATAACCTTTGTATAAATTTTTCACTATCACTATATTCGTAGAAATATTTCCTTTACCCTCATGAGTTATTATCCATATTGTGTTCGCAAAGGTATGTTATAAAGTTATAGTATAGATTAAGTGTCTTAACAATTGGTCAATGTTATCATTGTTCCAAATCTCACTTAACAGATCATTAACTGCTAACTAACCTTATGCCCAACACATTTTACAACACATACGTATTATTTCATATCCTCATCTTTGCCTTTGTTCATATATAAGAGTGCCTTTATGTAACTGCTAACTAACCTTATGCCCAACACATTTTACATCACATATAAGTATTATTTTATTTCCTCATCTCGTCTTCTGAATGTTTGCAGTTTTCCAGACATTGATTGGGGTCCTAGCTGTTAACTTTGAGTCTTGTGGTAAACTTATTGTCTATAGTGGTCTAAGTTTTTATGTCTAAGTTTTTAGGGAAAATTGGGAAGTTTTGGCTTACAAATACATGATACGTCAGCAGACGAGTGGGTTATGAATGTTGTGAAAGTGTATTCCTATTTTCCACGGTTTCATGCCTGCCCGTGATCATTATGAGCCTATAATAATTTTTTCTGTTTTCTGAACTCCGTCAGTAGTAGGTTAGTTCTTTCCTCTCGATATAGGAATACAAGCCCTCCCCGCGCAAACGGGAGCTCTACCATCGAAGTTATACCTATCGAGAAATGACTCGGAACCGAACATTTTTCTATGTCGTATTTTTCAAAGATTTTCTGGAAACTACTTTTGTTCATGTTTCTGTGGAGCTACAGTTTGAGGCTGCTTCAACTTCTGTAATCCAAGTATCATGGAAGTCCTGATGCGAGGCATTCAGTCAATACACAAGAGAGCTGACAAACGTTCTAATAATTCGGCATGGATGAATTAATCACTCTACATCGATGTCACGTGACTTTTTCACCCGTTCTCTAGCTGGTCCTGAAAACGACTTTCGAATCCTAACACTTTAATCTGATCCCAAAACCCTAACCCTAACCCGATCCTTAACAAAAAGCATATGCTGAAACCCTAACCTAACGAGAAATTTAGACTAATTCCTTAAACCTTTATACGGTCATATCACGTGATCGAGGACACTTTTTCGCCATTATCTCGTCAGGGGGCATTTTTAACCTATTCATAGGGGTGATTCGGAATCAGCGTCGAAAATTACGTCGATTGTTGAAGTTGTTTTCAAACCTGTTATTTTTTTTTGGGGGGGCCCTTTTAGAAACAATCTCGAAGATGACTGTAGTGTGATTTAGCACGCTCGAAAATTCCATAAACTTCCATGATGTACTTAACTTTGTATTAACAAGGTTACACGGTGAGCGCAGTGATTCTACTGATCAGAGATCAACTTTTATCAACACACAAGCTATACTATAATTTTCCGAGTGGTGTTGTACCCATCATAATTACTTACATGCACGATTTTGACTGATTAAATTTCCCCTTTGTTAAAATTTTTACGTTTGAGTTAATAAACTATAATGATTATAATATATGCATTTTACTTGTTAGAGAGTTAGAGTGCTTATCTTAAATATTTTACAGGCTCTAATGATATAATTTCACGAAGATTTCAAGCCTTACATTGTGTGATTCCCTTCGTGTCCAAAAGCATTATATTCTTTTAAATGTGTTTTTATGGTCGACTGCATTTGGCACCTTATTTGTATCCTTTCACCAACTAAATCTTTTAGCTCATGTCGGATTCTTTAGAGGTTACATCCTCAAAACTTACTCTAAATGATGTTTCTGGTAAGTATTTTTCAGTGCAAAATTGATTATTTGATTTTTTAAAAACAGTTATTTGACTCGTTTCTGCATTTTGTTCTATCGAGAGCCGTGATGGTTGGAACCTCACAAACAATATTCCCACAGAGAAATCTGATTCGAATGGAAGCTGCCCCAAAACTATGACCGACAAGGTGAGTTTAATAATACTCTAGTTTTGCCGTTTTCTTAAATCCACTCCAAACTCCGAGGTTTTCAATCACTTTTGTCATATTTTTTTCGGATTTTGGGATTTAGGGGCTCCCAAAAAGAGGTTTACGGGGCTAGCGTTTAGTTTTGATGGTTTTCAGGGATAGTTCTTGACCCAAAAAAGAAATTTGTATAACTATAAAAGAAATCAAAATTCCAAAAATTGTCTTTAAGCACGTTTAAAAAAACAGCAGTATGCAAAATTTGTATACCGCCCGGATTCAGATTGGGGAACTCCATAATTTGTCAAATAGCAGCGACCCTAACATTGTGTTTCACGCGTATTTTAATTGGCTGTTCTTTCTGATCCCAACCACCAACTTAAAATCCACCATCACCATAACATGATAAATAATGTGTACTGATATTAGTTTTGTGACAGGTAAGAAGGGCTCGACTAGAGGATGCCTTTAGGACTATCATTGAGTGTTCGGGGGAGGATCCTGACAGAGATGGGCTGAAAGACACTCCGGCTAGAGCTGCTAAAAGTATCATGTACCTTACTAAAGGTGGGTTGTTCTTAGACAACAGTTAGATTTGTTAACGTTTTATGCAAAATAGGTCGTGATCGCTATATACATTTAAAGATTTAAAAAGTACTGAACTAAGTATTGAACAAGGTTACAACGAGACTTTAGAAGATATGGTAGGGGGGGCTAAGTTCGAGGAAGAGTACATGCAGATGGTTACTGTCAGAGATATCGAATATCACTCTCTCTGTGAGCATCATCTTCTTCCCTTTTACGGAAAGGTAACCAAATGTTTAGGTTGAGCTGTGACAAACTAGCGACTTAAAATTTTTGATTCTCCTCTGAAGTTCGCCGAAGACATTTTTGCACTTTTTACAGCAGATCGATGTCCGACCTCCCAAGTTAGTTTTTGCTCTCCTAATCACCTAATCACCATCTCTTTTCAGATCCATATCGGCTACATCCCTACTGGTAAAGTTGTGGGACTAAGCAAACTTGCTAGGATTGCGGATATGTACGCTCGCAGATTCCAGGTTAGTGCATAACATTTAATTTTACTTTTGTGTACGAAGTTCAGGAATGATTGCTAAATTTCGAGTTTAAATTTTTTTTATTAGATACTTTTCAAATTTTACAGAGTACAGCAATAGATGAATATAAAATAGAATCGTTCAAAATATCGCCCCCATCTGTAAAATATGATGGGCACCCAAACACGGTAAACACATAGTGAACTATGTCCGCAGTAACTTGGACCCATTACATCGAATTAATCTAAATCCAAAAATTTATGAAAAACTATTTAATAACAAACAAATCCATGATGAATAACTGTGGATATAGAGTCAAAATTTGTATTTCAATACGTCAAATTCCAGATACATTAGATACAGGTCTAATATGGTCATTAATGTGTTAGAAGGTGTGCGGGTGAAGTGTGATATGATGTTGAAAGTATATGAAGGTAGATACAAAATTAATAAAACAAAAAATAATAATATGGGGAGCAAAGAGACTAGGCTAGACTGTTGTTTCACTATCTAATAAACATTTCCATAGATGCTTAGTGACCTCAGCTTTGAAAAGACTAGTAGACACAATCTGTCTTACCTGTAAAGGGAGTCCATTCCACAGTATATGGGTTCTGTAGAAAAATGATTTTGCCAGTGGGCTATTTGAGGTACATATGGTGTGTGAATTCTGACTTAACTTAGGTAAAATTGATGACACAATAGACAGACTGTCGAGGTGGCAACGTCTTAGTCGAGAAGTGCCCTGATATAAAGAGAGATAGTGAGGCAGCGATACAGGAATTAAATTGTTCAGAACTTTGTGGAAAAAAATAAGATCATTCAAGTCAAACTTTTGAGACAAAGGGAGAATGTCGACAAGCTTGCACTTTTTGACATATTGCTCAGGTGGATAACTGCGGCCCTCTTCAGACACAATCCATTTAATAGCTCTCTTTTGGAGACTTTCTAATTTATCACTAAGTGATTTATTACAAGGGCGCCAGATTATGGAACAATTTTCAAATTGGCTACGAACCAGGGAAAGGTAAAGCGCCCGGCGACGTTTCTGATCAATGACAATATGGCCATTTCTTCTGACCATACCAAGTTGTTGGCAGGCCTTAGTATAAATTCTGTCGCACTGACTATTCCAACTTAGCTTAGGAGTAACATCGACTCCAAGATCTTTTTCTAACTCTATATACACAAGAGGAGAGCCATCAAGATTATATGCGAATGGAGGAGATAAAGATGGTTTTCCTGAAACAATAAGCACTTTACATTTTGCTGGATGGAATCGCATTTTGTTTCTTAGTGCCCAGTCAGAGAGATAGTCTATATCCATTTGTAAATTAGTATTATCAGAAGATGAATGTATTTTACGCCAGATTTTTGTATCATCGGCATACAAAACAATATCAGTATTATCCAAAAGGCCAAGAGGAATATCATTGATAAACAATACAAAAAGTAAGGGACCAAGGATAGAGCCCTGGGGGACACCAGAATTAACTGAGAGGGTAGATGACATCTCATTACCAATAACCACTCTTTGGTAACGGCCTTGAAGGTAATTGGTAAGAAATTTGAGAAGTGTACCATCAATGTTATATAAGGTCTTTAGCTTATGAAGAAGGATATCATGATTTACAGAATCAAATGCCTTAGCAAAATCAAAATACACAACATGATTGATAATATTTTCGTTAAGAGACAATGCCAGGCTATCACAAAAGTCAACCATATTGGTTGTGCATGACTTGTGCTCTAGAAAACCATGCTGCCTGGGATCAAGAAGGGTACTTGTCAAATAAAGCAGTTTACGTTTAACAATGCGCTCAAAAACTTTCATGACTAAACAAGTAAGGGATATTGGTCTATAGTTTTCAACCTCACTTTTCTTACCTTTCTTAAATATTGGGACAACATTTGCAAGTTTCCATTTTTGTGGAATGTAGCCGCTGTTGTAGGATCCACGAAAAATGCATGTTAGAGGGTAAGCTAAACCTACGGAACAATTTTTTAGAATTTTACCGTGTATGCCATCTGGTCCCTGGGCTTTATTTGAATTAATATTTGAAAGAAGCTTACGAACATCCCGATGATCGAAGTCAATATCAAAATCAACATCATTAACATAGGAGATGTCAGTGTCATAAAGTGAAGGATCCGAAAACTGGTTATAAAAGAAAGAATTGAAAAGTTCAGCTTGATCTTTGGGTTTGAACCGAAGCTGTCCAGAATAACTAACACAATTAGGAATACGGCAGGAGTTAGATTGATACTTAACATGTGACCAAAACTTCTTAGTTATAAGCGCTGGATCATCACTATTGAAAAGATTGTCTCTTATTTTGGCTGATGAAAGCCTCTTAAAATATTTACGGCTAGTAACAAACTTTAACTCATCAGACATGGAACCAGAAATTTTAAATTTAGCTCTGAGTCTATCTTTTTACGGCATGAAGAAAAAAGTTCACTATATAGCTTAGTTTACTGTTACACTTACAGCTGCAGGTATCAATACTATAATTCAAAGAATTATTTCTGTATGTAGAATGTATGTCTGTACGACCACCCACGTGCAAATAAGGTAAAAAGCAAAAAGTTGCATAGTTACCATGCTAACGAGGATTGTTACATGCACGTGCACGTGCTAATGCAAAGATTAGCAAGCGCCATTTTGATCGGTTTTGTGGGAATTACGTTGTGTTTAACGTGTTTTTCATTCGATTCGCATGTTTGGTAGTACATGGATTTCCGGACCGAGACTGGTATTTATCAGAAAAAGTAGGTATGAGCTAAAGGTAGGACAGAACAGATTACAGGAAATAGAGCTATAGATTGGATATATTTATAATAAGATAATAGAATCAAGTAAACAAGCACACGAATGACTTCGAGCTTCATTGAATTTGCAATGAAAAATACCATTGAGAAAAGACAATTTTTGAGAAAAGACAGAAAGTTTGTTTACATTCCTCGAGATGGTTGGTTTAGAGCTCCGCCGGACCAATTAACAGTCTGATATTTCAGGTTCGTCATTGCAACTCCCACTCCCAGTTTAGTGATAGATATTGACATAAGATAGCATTCCGTAAATTTCAACTTCAGCTGGTGATGATTGGTTTAGAGCTGCCCCAGATGTGTTTAGTGCGAGCAACATTTTAATCGGCTGTGTGTTCGGTTGTGACGGATATTTTTTGATGCGATAAAAACTTATTACGAAAGAATACTACTACTAGATAGCTAGATTACCTTCCTCCCTGTGACCACGGGCTTTTCAGTCATCTTACTTATAATTCAAAGAATTATTTCTGTCTGTCTGTAGAATGTATGTACGACCACCCACGTGCAAATTAGACGAGAAATAGGAAGCTGCATAGTAACCATGGTAACGGTGCTCAAAAGCGCACGTGCACGTGCAAAGATTTGCGAGCGAAATTTTGATCGACTTTGTGGTAATTACGTTGTTTTCAGTGAAAGCTACATTTTAATCGGCTGTATCTTCGGTTGTGACGGATATTTTTTGATGAGATAAAAACTAACGAACTAAGAATACTACTAGCTCTCTCCCTGTCACCACAGGCTTTTTAGTCATTTTATAAAGCAAACTAACTTAATACAATCAGACAACTTCAAGTTATGAAAATCAAAATAATTTACTGCAGTTTGGTACCTAGTGTTGAGTTTTATTAATATTTCCCTAACCTTCATAAATCATGTAATTTTTGCCTTATTGTAGATACTAGCAGGAACCCGTCAGGAACCCTAAATTGGTGTCGAGACTCAAGAGACTAAAATAAATATTACCTATTTAATTCGCGTTTTTGACACCACTTGGTGATCCAAATTTTGGGCACTAAAATTCTTATTCCTTGGCCAATTTTTTATTTTTTCATGCTGATGTGAAGGCCATTAAAGCATTTGACCCAGTCCAAAAAGTTTCAGTGGTATATCTTTTACAGTTTTTTCGGAAAGTCGCGTTGAAGTTGATGCCATGGTGTCAGTAAAATAGCACGGATCCATATATATTGTTTTATATATAGTAAGATTTTGAAATCAAAAATTAACTCTGTTCCCGGCAGAACCAGGAGAGAATAACTAAAGAGATAGCAGCAGCAGTGGTGGACACTATAGACCCCTCAGGTGTTGGAGTTATTGTGACAGGAGTACACATGTGCATGTCTATGAGAGGTCAGCACTAGTTTACCTACACAGTAAAACCCCGATTTACCGCGCCCCGATTTACCGCAAACCCCGATTTACCGTGGTCATTGGCTCTTTCCTTTCCCCAGAACTCTGCGGTATATCGGGGTTTTACTGTATTGGTAAACAAGTTTAAATTTACTTGATACTTTGATAAGTAAGAGTAACACGGACGTATATCTTTTGAGAGTTTGAACACTAATTGTTGTCAATACTCAACAGTCTGTTTCTGTAGAAAGTATATCATATGAGTTTAAACTAATTACAACACTACAGATCAATTATATTTATTAAATAAACGATGTTACAGAGTCGATACAGTTTAATTTTGCCATGTGGTGGCAACTGCAAGTCCCCATTCATCGTAGCCCGATAGTTTCACTGCAACCTGATATACATAACTATTTGGTTATAACTACAACAACCGTTAATTTCAGGGGTACAAAAGACAGGAGCGGAGACCTTTACCAGCACCATGCTAGGAACCTTCCTAGACGACCCTAAAACCCGCGACGAGTTCTTGAGAATATGTACCCGTCAGTAAAAACAAACTCAGCAGGGGAAAAGTAGCAATCACGTCTTGTCGGTTGGGATAAACGCTTGTTTTTTTAAGTGCAAACACTTGGTCCATTACAATTAGTATGACAATTAGTATGACAATTTAAGAAAATGAAACGTTCAATTTAAAATGATCTGGTGATTTAGGAATCGCATGATCTTTTATTTCTCTGATCAATTTTAGTGACCCTTGCAATTTTGACGTAATTTTAGTTTCTATAATTCAAATAAATTCCTTGTATATGTATAATGACAATGTATATTGTAAGCTGGATAGACCAGATTTTATCATTGTGAGTTTTCTAGCATCTTTATCGATAAATTCAGAAAAAGTGTGCATTTTAATCTCATACACAATTCATTAATTTCACTGCTCATAATTTTCGAATTGAACCGTTCTTGAGGTAAAAAAGAACGTATTGTTTGGTAGCTGTTTTATCACTATTATTAAATTGAGTAAAAATTATGAATAAAAAATGATAATGTGTTTAATTTCATTCAGCTCAAAAATATTGTTTACTAAAATTCTAATATTAAAGTCATTTCTTAAAACTGAAAATAAGTTTATTTTCAGTCGAAGTCTCCCAACAAATAATGCATCGGATTCTACACAAAGCAAAGAAAGTGTGCCATATATAGGCGAAACAAAAATCGGTCCTCAGGAAACCAATACCCGCTCACAGTAAACTTATTTGAACCAAATATGCTTTGACTTAAAGATGAAAAAATGTTTATTAATATCACGTATATTGTAATTATAAAAACCTCTAAAACCCGGTAATATATATTCATATCACCATGAAAATGTTAAGTATATATTTCAATATTAAGTTTTTTCATGTTTGATCTGAATTCTTTAACTTCAAGTGTGTACTATGCAAATTGTCCGAAATTGTCCGGTCTATCAGAGCTATTATCTTATTATTGCTCGAATATATTTATACTTTTATAGTGTCCACTATAGCTCATCGTGGAGGCTCCGTTGCTTTCGGGAGTGGTATTTGCACAGTTGTCCTTCGTAAGTGATTGTTAGCGTACTGAAATTGTCGATGTCAAAATTTGTGTTTATGAACATTTTATTTCATCATTTAAAGATTTTTAATCGTCACTAAGTTAATTTTTACTGCCCAGGATGAAATTATGTCACAGCGTCAATACCTTATCGGACCTTACCTGAGGACCCCAGGCTATCATGTTCATAAACAAGCAACCGAATAGAGATTCGGCGGAATGACAGGCTGAGCGCCGCCCAGTAAATCGGACCTTATTTTAACGGACATAAATTGAATGCTGGCGTTCATTTTCATGTCCGTCCAAAAGACGAATTTCGGTTTTCAATGGTTTTGCAAATGCTTTAACAGTTTAAGCGTTCATTTTAATTATGTCCGTTCAAAATAATGTCCGTTCACGCAATGTCCGGTAAAATAACGCCCGATAAGGTAGTTCGTGTTACAAATACAATGTTAATAATAATCGCCATTGTCACAGAGTTAATGATTTGCATAATTGAGCTAAAATTTGGTCTGCGAATCTCTCAAAATTAAAAGCCTCCCCCTTTTCATACTGTGTAAATGTAATCACTATTCTAGTGTGCTTTTCCAGATTCATCATACAGATTTGAGGTGTTCTGATTCCAAGTAATTTGTAGATGCTAGGTCGTTTAACTTTAACTTTAATGTAAGAAATCCAGGTTAAGAGTATTTGAATATTCATGTTTAAGGGCGTCATTACGTGGCTTGCTAAAAAAGCCAGGTCTCCTCAGCTCATGTATATTCAAAAACAACGCTAAGATAAAGATACTTTATGCTAATGTGTGCCCCTAGGCTAATATGTGCTCCCTCTTCTGGTGCCAAACCAAATGTAAAACTAAATCCCGTGGTCTTTGAGACTTTGAGAGTGATTGCGAAATAAACTTAGAAGAAAGCGTGCTCAAAATGAAATTGCCAGTGTCACTGTCACAGGGTTAATAACTAGAGTCATATTTCATAAGGTTAATTAGCAGTGTTACAGGATTGATTGCAAGTGTCACATCATAGTTTGAAACCATGAGTTGTTCTGAACAACACAGAAATCAATGACTGAAATATTCATTTTGGATTCTTTATCGTTATCGAGGTACAGACAGTTCAATAGAGCAGTTTTACCTTGTTAATCTTACCGTCAACGTGTAGCTCCTAGTTGAGCTCGTTGTCGAGTCGATCAGAAAAAGCTGATCCACTTTAAAAAGAAAGTTTCTAGTAGTTTCCAAGAATTCTCACCTGTCTTTACCGGAGTTGACCTCAAATCCTGCGATGTTGAAACCGTGAAAATGTTGTCTACGTATGCATGCGAGGAAGCGGTTGATCATGATACCCAAGAATTATACGCAGGAAAGCAAATTGTAAATCCACTAATAAAATTTCAATTTTATGGCAGAAAAAGGTGAAATACGAAATGCTGCGTCGCTTAAAATTATTCTTCCTTGTTCAAAATTTTGTTGGCTTACATTTATTTTATCATTTGAAGATGGATTTTTCTCCAGCGGGTGTTTAGGATGATTTACGTATCAACTGAAGTAAACTGGACCAGTGAAACGCACCTTAAATTTAAAGCTTGTTACGCTGATAAGTTATTGTGAAAGTTAATCAGTGAATTGAGATAATATTCTGGGACGACCTCAAGAAGTAAACAAAACAATTTCTCTGATGATGAACTTACTTTTTACATTCTTTTTGTCAATTGTAGGATAACAATTCCGTGTGGAAACTGGAACATCAGTGCTCATCAGTTAGTAATCAGAATCTCTCTCCGTGATTGCATCAATTAGTTATCCTGAGAGACAGGTCAGTTAAAACATTGATCCTTACTCTCAGCTATAAATGGCTATAATTAAATCGGCTTATGCTAACATTCGATAAGCTTAACTGGGATGATCAGGGCTTACATTACTGATTCAAACGATAAAATGATAAAGCAATCTTTGGGACAAAAATACTCAGTTATTTCATATCGATGGAAACGATAAAATCTTGCTTCAAAAATCTATCACTTATAATATGTTCACTATAATATTAGTCAATGAGAACATACCAGGCCAAGTTTGGACTCTACTTAAACTTACTAACTTATGCTTGACAAGCATGAGCTTTGATATTTCGCATCGTTCTCTTAGAATGCATGGTTCCAAACTTAACTTAATAAACAATATTAAGTTAAGTTTGGAATTTTGTCTAAAATGGCTTGAGTATATTCATCAGTAAATAATAGGTTTCGTACCTGACAAGTATAGTTCTAAGCAGGTTTAATAATCAGTGAGTGCCGAGTAATGGTGAAAAAGCATCAAAATCATAGCCCAAACAAAAGAAAATGATAAAAACAATTATGCTAATAACTAAATTATTATTTCATTATTGTTAACCAGTTAAACGCTTACCATATAAAAGCTTATTTACGATCTGTCAGGTGAAGTCTGGACATTCGTCCGTCTTGCCATAGTGTGCTTTGACTACAATATTTACTGCGTTTGACCTAAAATACAACCGTAGCACAGAAACGTTGACCAGCTAAAAGATGCGCGGAACGTTTTTAACAACACGGAAATCAATGGCTGAAAAATGATTCATGGCTTCATTATCATAATTCAAAAAATGAACTAAAACAGTAATCATACCAAATTTTGGAGCTGATCAAGGGGGTGGGTCATCATTAATCATTATTTGTTCGTCAGTTCGTCTAGGTGGATTCTTCTTTCATGTTCGGTATATTAGAAGTAAACTGGACCAGTGAACCGCACCTTAAATTTAAAGCTTGTTACGCTGATAAGTTATTGTGAAAGTTGATCAGTGAATTGAGATAATATTCCGGGACGACCTCAAGAAGTAAACAAAACAATTTCTCTGATGATGAACTTACTTTGTTCATTCTTTTTGTCAATTGTAGGATAATAATTTCGTGTGGAAACTGGAACATCCGTGCTCATCAGTTGGTTAATCAGAATCTCTCTCCATGATTGTGTTAATTATTTATCCTGAGAGACAGGTCAGTTAAAAATTAAAAATTGATCCTTACTCTCAGCTAATGGCTACAATTAAATCGGCTTATACTAAAATTTGATAAGCTTAACTGGCATGTTGGCATGATCAGGGCTTACATTACAGATTCAAACGATAAAATGATAAAGCAATCTTTGGGACAAAAATACTCAGTTATTTCATATTGATGGAAATGATAAAATCTTGCTTCAAAAATCAATCACTTATATTATGTTCACTATAATATTAGTCAATGAAAGCATACCAGGCCAAGTTTGGACTCTACTTAAACTTAGTAACTTATGCTTGACAAGCATGAGCTTTGATATCGATATTTCGCATCGTTCTCTTAGAATGCATGGTTTCAGTGCACTGAAATCTGAAAATATTTATAATTCATGAATTTGGTCATCGGAGACTATATTAGTGTTCCACAGTATTTTGAAACCTATTAAAGAAGTGAGGAATCAATAGTCAGTTAAGGTTCCTAGTTGTCGGTCACCGAAGTTAAGTTTGGAATTTTATCTAAGAATAAAATGGCATGAATATATTCATCAGTAAATAATAGGTTTCGTACCTGACAAGTATAGCTCTAACTCTAAGCAGGGTTAATAATCAGTGAGTGCCGAGTAACTGTGAAAAAGTATCAAAATCAGAGTCAAACAAAAGAAATTGATAAAAACAATTATGCTAATAACTAAATTATTATTTCATTATTGTTAACTGCAGTTAAACGCTTACCATATAAAAGCTTATTTAAGATATGTCAGGTAAAGTCTGGACATTCGTCCGTCTTGCCATGGTGGGCTCTGACTACAATATATACTGCGTTTGACCTAAAATACAACTGTAGCACAGAAATTAAACGTTGACCAGCTAAAAGATGCGCGGAACGTTTTTAACAACACGGAAATCAATGGCTGAAAAGTGATTCATGGCTTCATTATCATAATTCAGAAAATTAACCAAAACAGTAATCATACCAAATTGTGGAGCTGATTGAGGGGGTGGTTTACTATAAGTATATCAATATGTTCGTCACTTCGTCACTTCGTCTAGATGGAGTCTTCTTTCATGTTCGGTATATACTCCACCTGAACGTACCAGTGAACCTGCAGTTTTAAATAGTGTAATGCACACGCTTTTATTCTAGTTTTACATCTAAATTACCTTTTTGCCATATTATTATTATTTGTGTGTTGAGTAGCTATAGGTGGATGAAACTGAATAGCTACTAAGCTACTATTTAATTCTGTCGACCAGATATACTCAAAAGTTTGGTTACCAATTTCATGGTGCAGTCAACATTTTACTTACTATATTAATATAACTGTGGACAATCCTCGATAAAAATTCCTCTCCATATCTTCCACCAAACTTCATGGTCGACTATAACTGTTCGTAGACCGCCATTTTTAGCTTTTAAACCCATGTCCCATAACTTACCTTTAAAGAAAATTAAGATATCTGAATTTGACAAAATGCGGCTTTCCTGAAATCAGTTTTCACAACGATGTGAGGCATGAAGCGTTTGTATTTGACGGATGATACTCGTCTAAATTTCTTCGAAGTTGGAAGTAGCGCGCGCCGCGCCGGTTTCTTTTCAAAATATTAGCCAGAGGCAAGTGCTACGAAGACCGCGCGCCGGGTTCCGGTTAGTCCATTAACAATAAACACGTTTGTAGAAGTAGAACACTTAATCATCGAGCGCGAATATGGGAAACTAACCGTATTTGATTAATTTCCCACATGAAGAACATTCATTTACTATGTAGTCTGTTATCCATGATCCAGCCGCTCCAACTAATTTAATAATTATAACTTACACGGGGACGAACACTTTGGAAGTCCGTTATAAGCAACTAGTTTACCATACATACAGGTTGCCTCGTTTCCCCCTCTTTTGATATGACCATCTGGACAAGTTAGGTTGACCGTTA